AGATGACACTGGTGCTGAGGAAGGTGAGGTGAAGGTTAGGGTAGAAGCAGAGGGACAAGCACCAGTCTCGCTGGCATTCCCTCGCTTTGGGTCATTCCTGCTCCATGATTTTAGCCACTCACCCCTCTAGTCCCTGCTGGACTTGGGCTCCTGGAGCCTGCGGAGCTTCTGCTGCCTCTGCAGGAGCTCTGGGGACCTCTGCCCGTACCCCGTTCCTCATGTTTCCTGCTGCGTGTCCTTACACAACATCAGATCTGCTGAGTGTCGCGGTCAGCCGCGCCAGCCTGCGCCSCCCACGTCCCCCGTCCCTCCTTTCCACAAGTCAGTCTCCTGCTTTTCCTTCCCGTGCTCTGTTTTCGAGGATGAGACAAGCAGTAGATGGTTGGGAGYTTGGCCGTTCCACATTGGAGCTCCTCCCGAGCTGTTCAGTCTCGGGTCTGGCACTCCTTAATCCTCAGTTCTCTTTTAAACTCGTTTCACTGCCTCCTCTTCAGCTGGGGACCTTCCTTCCCCTTGTCCCCTGCAAGAYACTGTTTGGATGTGGGAAGTTCTCAGGAGGAACCGTTGGTGCAAGAGATTCATTTATGAAACCTTCTGTAATCCCTGAATCTTCCCTTTTCCTCTCAATCTCCTCTTGAGACTCACAATTTTTGTTATTTTTCAATATCCATTTTTTCAAAATAAATAGCATGGGCTATTTTTTTTAGCCTATAACATCCACATTATCCAGACGCCTTCTCCCTAACAGGATTCCCGGTGCCTTAGAGCTCCTCCAATAGAGGAACCTTGGATTCCCCGTTGACCTTTGCCTGTAATGACGTTACACGTCCGTGTGCTCCCCGTCGCAGGCTGCTTCCTAGGAAATGATGCTACGAGGAAGAGCTTCTGCTCCAGCCCAGCCTAAATTAAGCCTCACTCTGCTCTTGTGGCTTTTCTGGCTGTTTGCTTTAGGAAGTCCCTCTCATTGGTGTCTCTTCGTTACCAATTAATTAATATCAGGCGGTTGGCACTTTCAGGTGTTGCGTTTTTTCCTAGCTGGCCACATCCCTGTCACCACGCTGATTTTTCAGAAGCAAAACCATAATATTGCATTTTAGGACATTTAATTCCGTTAAAAACTATATGCCAGCTGATAGAATTAATTTATGTTTTCTGTCAACCAGCTTTCTTTAATGGAGAACATCACCATTGGTCTTAGTCTCATGGCCACGCGGTTGGTTTACTCATGTCATGGTGTCATCCATGGTCTTGCTGTCACCATGTCCCTCCCGTGCAGGCCTGTGTCCCCGTTAAGCTCTCCTAATTCCAGGCTTTGCACGGCTCATCTGTTGGGAAATGCCTCCACGTTGGCCTTTCTTCACTGGATTTAGGAGCTTTTACAGGCTCCAGATGGGACATCAAGAGGGTCAACGAGATGTTCTCCTTGCAGCTCCTGGCCTGGCTTTCATCTCAGGAACTTGGACCTCTTGCAGGTCCCAACTCTTCCAAGCTCTTGCAGGTTTGGAAGGGCTCGGTCCTTGGCGTGTTGGCTCCTTCTGCTCCAAAAACTCTTCCAGGTCTTCATTAAGCCCGAGCCCTCCCTTCCTACATCATCTTCTAGCTGTTTATCTAAGCAGCATCTCTCTCTATGGGCTAAAGTTTCGTGGCTCTCTCAGACCCAGTCCTAGTAGAGCCTAGGTGAGTACAGAAGGTTGAAAAAGTCCTCGAGACAGTGAGAGATCGGTCACCAACTGGGGCTGTTAAGATGAGGGGTGGTTTTAATACGGATAGACGCAAAGATCTACGTCTTGAGGGAGCGATGGAGTCTGGTTTAAGGAATGATGTCCATCCCGGGAAAGCCGGGACTCTGAAGTGGCTGCAGAGCCGCCCCTCGATGAGCATGGGATGGAAGGAGCGTGATTTGGGGAGGAAAAGGCAGGATGAGAACTAGTAGATGATGACAGGAAAATTCCTATTGGAATTGCTCGTATGGTTTAAGAGGGTGAAGCAGTTAACCCAGATCCTCTGTTCCCCCAAACCCTCTGTGATTCTTCTGCTCTAGCGCTCATGAGTTGGTCCATCTCTTGATCTGTTCCTCAAGTCCATATGGCCAACCTGATTTGCAGGTTAAGGTGACAAAACCAAGCTCAGAAAGAAGCCTAACTAGATCTTTGGGCCATGCCTTGCCTCGATGGATGCGGAGCGTGTTTTCCTCGGAGTGCTCTTGTTTCTCGAGCCACGGCCACGACAAGGGTGGTGGCATCAAGCGGCTGCAGTGACAACTTCCATATTCATGTCCTGCGTTAGAAGCTGCTTGGGAGGCACGGCTCTTATCGATTTAAAAACGGGTGTAAGTGGGAAAAAGAAAGCGGGGTGATGGCGTTAATTGCATCAGCGGAGGCTCGGGAGGACAGGAGTCTGTTCCTATTACTTTAAGTGGCCGCGTGGAGCAATAACGGTGTCACTCCTGGTCAAAGCTGACGGCTGATGACACCGCGCGGTCCCCAGCAGGTCCGCGGGGCTGCCGCCTCCTGGAGAGTCCCGGGYTGTTTGGGCGGTTGAACAAGGCCACGGAGAGGGGTGGCCGCGGTGGCAGAYGGCACTCAGGGTGCCACGGGGGCTGTAATTCCCATCGGAGCTTCTCGGAGCTTCTCGGGGTCCAAAGCCGCTCTGCACATGGTTCCTTGGTGAATGGGTAGTTTCCAGGCTCCTCTTCCCGGATTTTGTTTGCTTTTCCAGCAAAAAAATGGATATTTTTCACGCATGCTGCTCAGCGTGGTTGCTGCTGTGGCCTGGGGTGGCTTTGGGCCTGCTTGGCTCCATGGCCCACTGTCAACGTAGAGYGGCGCCCACGTCATGGGCAAGGGCCATGGGTGCCCTCATCCCCAGGGAGCTCTASCGAGGACCCGCATGGGTTGGAGGCACCTCGAGGAGCCCTTGCCCCTTCCCAAGGGACCTCGCCATGGCCAGACCGGTGCTGTGAGGWGGTGGCAGGAGCAGGGCCCAGCTGGGGGGCTCGGCTCTGCCGTTGCTGCTGCGGCCTCCGCTGCCAGCCATGAGGGTGGAGGTCATCTCCACCCCAGGAGATGCTGGGACCCACACCGGGTGCTCCACATTCAACACAGTAGGTGTCATGGGCAGCCTCCCTCATGGCATGAGGACCATGAGGATGGTCTTCCTCCCGCCATGAGGAACAGGAGGGTGGCTTCCTTCATCCCATGAGGACCATGAGGATGGTCTTNTCCTTCATCCCATGAGGACCATGAGGATGGTCTTCCTCCCGCCATGAGGACCATGAGGGCAGCCTCCCTCATCCCATGAAGAACATGAGGGAGGCCTCCCTTCCACCATGAGGACCATGAGGATGATCTTCCTCCCGCCATGAGGACCATGAGGGCGGCCTCCCTCATCCCATGAAGATCGTGAGGGCGACCTCCTTTCCACCATGAGGAGCATGAGGGTGGTCTTCCTCCTGCCATGAGGAACATGAGGGTGGCTTCCTTCATCCCATGAGGACCATGAGGATGGTCTTCCTCCCGCCATGAGGAACATGAGCGCGGCCTCCCTCATCCCATGAGGACCATGAGGATGGTCTTTCTCCCGCCATGAGGACCATGAGGGCAGCCTCCCTCATCCCATGAAGAACATGAGGGAGGCCTCCTTTCCACCATGAGGACCATGAGGATGGTCTTCCTCCTGCCATGAGAAACATGAGGGTGGCTTCCTTCATCCCATGAGGACCATGAGGATGGTCTTCCTCCCGCCATGAGGACCATGGGGTTGGCCTCCCTCATCCCCTGAGCCTCACCACGTGCCCCCCAGCACCAACCCACGGGCTAGCCCGGCAAGGCGAGGACAGCACCGAGGCCTCCTCCGCGGCGCCGTCCTCTCCCTCCGCTCCCCGCCCAGCGCGGCAGCGAGTCGCTCCGCGGCCGGCATTAATAAAAACTGAAAAATGGAGGCCCACCACCCCGCTCCACGTCGCCGCGGAGGCCGCCGGCGCCGTATTCCCCCGCGGAGAGCCGCGCCGCCGCGGCCTCCATTCATCACGGAGCCGCGGCCTCCCCTCGTGCCGCCCGACAGCTCGTGGGAGGTGACAAATGGGCTCCCATTAAGGCCCAGTCCCCTCCCGGGATGCCCTTTATCCCGGCCCCGCTCCGGCCGGGAAAGGGCGCCGGCGCTCGGCCGCCCGCCTTTGACACCCGTTATTTATCGCGGCGTGGTTTATGGCTGGCGGTGGGGCGATCGACCGGCCCGCCGCCGCCCGGCCCCCGTCAATTATTGCGGCAATTAGTCAAGTCGGCACGGCCCCGTTAACGGGGGGGTTTGGGGGATATTGGAGCGCCGTTATTGATAGAGCCGGGGSGGGGTCAAGGCGCCCCGTCCCCTCCGTCGCACCGGCGAGGAGGAGCAGGACCGGCCTGGGGGACGTCCCCGCGCGGGGACCCTCGGGGACATCCCCAAAGGCATCCCGGGATTGGGAACGGGGATCGGGAGAGGCCAACGTGGGGGCCTAGGACCGGCCTGGGGGACGTCCCCACGCGGGGACCCTCGGGGACGTTCCCAAAGGCATCCCGGGATTGGGAACGGGGATCGGGAGAGGCCAGCGCGGGGGCCTAGGACCGGCCTGGGGGA